CACAGTCCCTCAGCTCTTCAGCTCAAGGTTAGCACTCTACGACTTGAGCCACAGCACCACTTCCGGTTTGCTGGTGGTTTATTGAAGATGATAAGAGTCTCACGGACTGGCTTTGAACCACGATCCTCAGATCTCAGCCTCCTGAGTAAGCTAGGATTATACATGTGAGCCACCAGCACCCGGCTCCCTTATTCATTTTAAAAAAAAAAAAAAATCATTGGCTTCTTGTTGGAGTACTATTGTGAAGTATGCAGTTATACTGAATGATTATACCTGAAATTACATAATTTATTTCTGTGAACCCAAGTACAGAAATGAATCCATAAAATATATATTTCAAGATTTAATGGTTTTGGATTATATTGCTTGGTAACAACCAATACCCCTGTTAGGGGATTTAAACCCAAAAGACAGCTAGAGTAACTATATTTAGAAGTTGAAAAGAGTAAGTTCAAAGTAATAAATTTAAAAGAAAATAGTTGAAATATGTCAGGGAATGTGGCTTAGTGATAGAGTGCTTGTCTAGCATGCATGAAGCCCTGGGTTCAATTCCTCAGTACCATATAAACAGAAAAAGCTAGAAGTGGCGCTGTGTGGTTCAAGTGGTAGAGCACTAGCCTTGAGCACAGAGAGGCTCAGAGACAGAATCCAGGCCCTGAGTTCAAGCCCTAGGACTGGAAAAAAAAGTAGTTGAAATGTTGATAGGCACTGTGAATGATTGTGCCATTTTATAGCATTACAGTAGCTAAGCCACTAAAATATTTGTCTAATTTATCTTGAAATTCATGCTAAAAGAACAAACTCATGCTTCTTTTAGTACTTAAGTTTTTTATGTCATATGTTTATGTTCTTCAGTATTGTCAAATACTGTTTAATACAAAAATACATTTGCCAACAGTTCTGAGTGATTCTTTGAGGTGCGCTTTGCTGTTTCTTCTTCTTAATACATAATGAATTGTAATATCACCTCTGTATTAATAGAATATTGGAATGACAGTTGCAAAGTAGACAGAGAAAACTTGATTATTATAATTTACAATGTTACCCAAATCTCTAAAATCTCTTCAGTAAATATTATAGTTTACATATTTAATATGTAAAATAGGTTAAGGATGCAATACCTTTAACATTTAAATTAAAATCTTTTTCTTGTAAGAAATGTACGCATTATCCTGACCATGTAATTGTAACCCCTCTGTACAGTATGTTCACAAATAAAATTAAATTAAATTAAAAAAAAAATAAAATCTTTTTCTTAGCACTAGGGGGCACTCTTGACTTATTAATTCCTGTCATGTAGTCTGCATGGAATATGAAATTATTTGAAAATATTTAACTGTAAGTAGTTACTGACAGAATCAGAATTATCAAACTGGTTTTGTATAGCAGTGAAAATATAGCTGATCTCTAATACTAGTGTTGTAAGGATAATAAAGTGTATAGAATATGAGATAATATATATACATATTTATATGTGTATATGTGTCTATATTAGAAAGAACGACAGTATTTCTGTGCTTTATTTTCACACAGATTTTTGGGGGGGGGGGGTGCGGTCATGGGGCCTGAACTCTGGGCCTGGGCGCTGTCCCTCAGCTCTTCAGCTCAAGGCTAGCGCTCCACCACCTGAGCCACAGCGCCACTTACGGCTTTTTTCTTTTTGCTTATGTGGTGTTGAGGAATTGAACCCAGGGCCTCATGCACGCAAGGCAAGCGCTCTACCACTGAGCCACCTTCCCAGCCCCACACACAGATTTTTTTTTTTTTTTGGGTCCGGTCGTGGAGCCTGAACTCTGGGCCTGGGCGCTGTCCCTCAGCTCTTCAGCTCAAGGCTAGCGCTCTACCACTTGAGCCACAGTGCCACTTCTGGCTTTTTTCTTTTTTGCTTATGTGGTGCTGAGGAATCCAACCCAGAGCCTCAGGCATGCAAGGCTCTACCACCGAGCCACCTTCCCAGCCCCACACAGATTTTTTTTTTAAATGAGCTCTAAATTATTTAAAAACACAACTATTTCAAATATCATCTTTCTTTACAAATTCTATTATGAAGTTCTCCAAGCAGATGTTTAATTGGAAGAAATAGAGATAGATTTAAAGTGTGATTAAAGGATGTTCTCATTAGCAGTAATTTTTAAGCATTTGAAAACCAGGAGAACATTTTGCTTCATCTAGGACATATATTTAAGGTATTTACAAATAGGATTTTGTTGACAACAAATGTACTTCTCGTTGCCAAGAAAGATATTTCTAAGCTTTTTTCTCCCTCCCTCCCTTCCTCCCTCCCTCTTTCCTTCCCTCCCTCCCTCCCTTCCTCCCTCCCCTCCTTTCCTTCCTTCCTTCCTTCAAACCTTCCTACCTTCCTATCTTCCTATCTTCCTTCTGTCCGTCCATCTGTCTGTCTCTCTCTGTCTGTTGGTCGGTTGGTTGTGGGGCTTGAACTCAGGACCTGAGTGCTGTCCCTGAGCTTCTTTGTGCTTAAGGCTAGCACACTACCACTTGAGCCACAATGCCGCTTCTGCTCGGCTTTTTGTCTTTTCTTCATTGTTGAGATGACTGCTAAATTTAAACTTCATGTCTATTAAATAGATAACAAAGTCTACATCTTCACTGCATCATCAAAAGTGAACACTTAGCTGGGCTCCTGTGGCTCATGACTGTAATTGTAGCTATTCATGAGGCTGAGATCCTAGGATTATAGTTTGAAACAAGCCTGGGCAGGAAAGTTTGTAAGATTCTTAATCTCTAGTTACCCATCAAAAAGCTAAAAGTGTAGCTGTGGCTCACATGGTAAAGCACTTTGCTCAGAGAAAGCACCCAGGCCCCAAGTTCATCTCCCCCCCCCCAAAAAAAATATGTGCACACTTAAAATTTCTCTTGTAAAAGCAGTGTAGAAATTTAACACTGAAAAGGGGATCTTAAATTTTGTTCACCTCTATCATTTTCAGAGAGGAAATATATGTTTGAAAGGTAAGTTAGGGCTGTATGGGAAGCTAATTTGTGGAAAATTGTTAAAAAGTAGAGATTTTGATTATAAAGTAGGAAGGAAGAAATGCAGGTCATGAAAAGAATATTTGACTAGGTTTTTAGATAGCTTGAGTTCTGAACTGGCTTCTCATTTAACCACTGTTTATTGCCAAACAATCTGTTTCTCCAGTTAATATGTCATATGTATAATATTACTAATTATTTTATCTTATTTATTTTTGTTGGTCATGGGGCTTGAACTCTGGGCCTGGGCATTGTTCCTCAGCTCTTCAGCTTACAGCTAGCGCTCTACCACTTGAGCCACAGTGCCACCTCCAGCTTTTTCTGCTTATGTGGTTCTAAGGAATTGAACCTCATGCATGCAAGGGAAGCACTCTACCACTGAGCCACCTTCCGGGCCCTACTTTTTTTTTTTTTTTTTGCTTGAACCCTGGGCCTAGGTGCTGTCCCTGAGCTGCTTTTGCTCAGTGCTACTGTTCTACCACTTGAGCACCAGTGCTACTTCTGGCTTTTTTTTGAGTAGTCTATTAGAAATAGGGGGGCTGGGAAGTTGGCTCAGTGGTAGAGCGCTTGCCTTGCATGCCTGAGGCCCTGGGTTCAATTCTTCAGCACCATATAAGCAAAAAGAAAAAAGCCGGAAGTGGTGCTGTGGCTCAAGTGGTAGAGTGCTAGCCTTGAGCTGAAGAGCTGAGGGACATCGCCCAGGCCCAGAGTTCAGGCCCCATGACCGGACCCCCCCCGCCCCCCCCCCCAAAAAGAAAAAGAAATAGAGTCCCATGGACTTTTCTGTGTGGGCTGGCTTTGAACCACAATCCCCAGATCTCAGCCTCCTGAGTAGCTAGGATTTACAGGTGTGAGCAAGCGCTCTAATTACTTTTATTGGTACTTACGAAAATCAGTGAGACAATAGGTTGAGGCTAGTCAATAAATCTTATAGCCCTATACATATGGGTATATATTGTGGTATTTTTTTTTTTTTAATTTAATTTTATTTTATTTGAGAACATACTGTACAGAGGGGTTACAATTACATGGGCAGGATAATGCGTACATTTCTTACCAAGCATTGCAGCCTCCTCCTTTGTTTACCCTTCACCTCCCTTCCCAGCCTCCCCCTCTTGTAACATGTCCAGTAAGCTTTTAAATATTTATGATATGCTGGTAAACTTGGCCACTAGTAATTGGTTTTGAAGTGTTATTTGGACCTTAAAGAATTTACTGTCGGGCTGGGAAGGTGGCTCAATGGTGGAGCGCTTGCCTTGCCTGCATGAGGCCCCTAGGTTCGATTTCTCAGCACCACATAAGCAAAAACAAAAAAGCCGGAAATGGTGCTGTGGCTCAAGTGGTAGAGCGCTAGCCTTGAGCTGAAGAGCTGAGGGACAGCGCCCAGGCCAGGAGTTCAGGCCCCACAACCGGACCCAAAAAAAAAAATTTACTGTGTACGGCATATGCTATCTTACCATGTGCCTTTTTTTTTTTTTTTTTTGTCGGTCGTGGGGCTTGAACTCTGGGCCTGGGCGCTGTCCCTCAGCTCTTCAGCTCAAGGCGAGCGCTCTACCACTTGAGCTACAGCGCCACTTCCGGTTTTCTGGTGGTTTATTGGAGATAGGAGTCTCACGGTCTTTCTTGCCCGGGCTGGCTTTGAACCACGATCCTCAGATCTCAGCCTCCTGAGTAGCTAGGATTACAGGCGTGAGCCACCAGCGCCCGGCTCCATGTGCCTTTTATACTTGTTATTTAGTTGTTCATGTTTTTTCCTTGTTGTTGTTGTTTCACAGTTTCCACTTAGTGATTGAAAAAATAGTATTTCTACTTCACTTATCAACAATATAACAGTAACTGCCCATTTGGTGTTTCTAATAGTTTGAAAATAGCCTACAAAGTTTTCTTCAACCTAGGTTTAGTCGCTTAGCTAAAATAAAATTGTATTAGAAATTTGTAGTGAGTATGGATTTGTTTTCTTATACTCCAAGGAAGACATACATTCTAATTTTTCTGTTTTTTTTTTTTCCTAGGAATAATGTATTTGTGGCCTTGGACATGAAGTAATCAGTCCTCTGCTGTTTACATAGATCAGGGACTGATGAGAGAAGCATGGACCTAATGAACGGGCAGGCAAGCAGTGTTAATATCCCAGCTACTGCTTCTGAGGTAAGATGTTCAAGAAACCTCATTTTAAAATTTCTTACCTGGCTTTCTGAATTTTCAAATATTGAGGTTGGTCACATTTTCAAACCAAAATGTGACAAAAGGATTGCTTGTTTGCTTGCTTGCTTGCTTGCTTGCTTGCTTGCTTGCTTCCTTCCTTCCTTCCTTCCTTCCTTCCTTCCTTCCTTCCTTCCTTCCTTCCTTCCTTCCTTCCTTCCTTCCTTCCTTTCTTTCCTTTCTTTCTTTCTTTCTCTTTCTTTCTTTCTTTCTTTCTTTCTTTCTTTCTTTCTTTCTTTCTTTCTTTCTTTCTTTCTTTCTTTCTTTCTTTCTTTCTTTCTTTCTTTCTTTCTTTCTTTCTTTCTTTCCTTCTTTCCTTCTTTCTTTCTTCTTTCCTTCTTTCTTCCCTTCCCCTTCCCCTTCCCCTGTCATAGACCTTGAACTTTGGGCTTGGGTGCTATCCCTGAACTCTTCAGCTCAAGACAAGTGCTCTACTAATTGAAACACAGCAACACTTCCAATTTTCTAGTGGTTATTGGAGATAAGAGTTTCATGGAGTGGGGTGGGGGGAAGTATGGGAAGGGATGGGAAGGGGAAACAAAGGAGGATGCAACAATGCTTGATAAGAAATGTACTCATTGGGGCTGAGAAGGTGGCTCAGTGGTAGAGTGTTTGCCTTGCAGGCATGAGGCCTTGGGTTCGATTCCTCAGCACCACATAAGCAGAAAAAGCCAGAAGTGGCGCTATGGCTCAAGTGGTAGAGCACTAGCCTTGAGCTGAAGAGCTGAGGGACAGCGCCCAGCCCAGAATTCAGGCCCCACGACCAAAAAAAACAAAAACAAAAAAGAAAAGAAAAGTAATGTACTCATTACCTTGCCCATATAATTGTAACCCCTCTGTGTGGTATTTTCACAATTAAAAAAAATAAATAAATAAAAAGTAAAAAAAAAAAAAAAGTGTCATGGACTTTTCTGCCTTGCCTGGGCTGGCTTTGAATTGTGATTCTCAGATCTCAGCCTCCTGAGTAGCTAGGATTATAGATGTAAGCCACCAGCGGCCAGCTAAATAAACCCTTACATTTTAAAGGCATATTTAACTTCCTATTTAACGCCTATTTAAGTTCTTATTACTCAATATATCATATCTTGCTTTCAGCAGAAAATAAAGAATGCTAAAAGGCAAGAGAAAAACATATAGCAAATTAATAATGTAAGAAAGGATACCAAAACTTAAGAATTAAAAAGAAATACTGGAATTCACAAACGTTGTGACAGAAGGGCAGAATGACTTTGGTGATCTCTTAGACATGTAAGGAAAGAATCACTAGGCTTGAAGATAAGTTAGGAGAAACTTTGAGAATTGAAAGCCAAAGAGAAAATGGAATGAAAAAATGGATGGAATAGCCTAGTGATAGCCTAGTGATAGCACATAATGGTAATGTAAGAGAAAAGAGTTGGAGAAAGTTGAGGCTAGCCTGGGCTATAGTGAAAACTTACTTCAAATAGAGAATATGTAAGCCGGGTGCTGGTGGCTCACGCCTGTAATGCTAGCTACTCAAGAGGTTGAGATCTGAGGATCGCGGTTCAAAGCCAGCCCGGGCAGGAAAGACCGTGAGACTATCTCCAATAAACCCTCAGAAAACCAAAAGTGGCACTGTAGCTCAAGTGGTAGAGCGCTTGCCTTGAGCTGAAGAGCTGAGGGACAGCGCCCAAGCCCAGAGTTCAAGCCCCATGACCGACAAAAAAAATAAATAAAAGATGATTGTAGATAAATAACCTTCTCTCTAACTTTATTTTACTCCATTTGAAAATCATTAAACTGGGTAAAATCTTTTATTTCTATTGGAAATGATAAGATGTCTGGATAAAGGAACTGGCAGATAACAAAAAGACTCATTCAAGAACCTTTAATGCAATGTTAAATTTCCAATTAGCCAGACCTTTTATCTGTTATTTTTCTAAATAAACAGCATGCATGCTCTGCTCAGCTTTCTGTAGTATTCATTCACTCACATTCATTTATTCATTCATTCAAAAGCACCGCATTCAGCTTTCTTGCTCATACCTAGCCCTTTACCACTTGAGCCACACCTCCAGCCTGGCACTTTGCTGATTAATTGGAGATGGATTCCATAAACTTTCCTGCCAGGAGTAGCTTTGAACTTTGGTCTTCCAGCTCTCAGCCTCCTGAGTAGCTGGCCACTGCCCAGCTTCTGCAGTCTAATATACAGTTCTTGGTTTCTCAGTTTTTTTAAGGCCAGTGTAGTTTCTGTCACTGATGGTGAGGCAGTGTTAAAATTACATTTTAACACTGATTATATTTTCTTACATTTTAACAGAAAAGTAGCAGCTCTGAATCCTTAAGTGACAAAGGTTCTGAATTGAAGAAAAGCTTTGATGCTGTGGTATTTGATGTTCTTAAGGTTACACCAGAAGAATATGCGGTAAGCCACCTGCCTCTTTTTGTGTCTGTATGTCTGTGCTAGGATTTGAACAAAGGGCCCAGAAGCTGTCCCTGAGCTTTTTTGCTCAGTGCTAGCACTCTACCACTTGTAACTCCTCTGTATGGTATTCTCACAATAAAAAAAAAAGAAAAGAAAAAAAAAGAAAGTTTAGTTTTTTGTTTTAGAGCAGCTTTATAACTTATACCTTTAATATGATATTATGAAATAATTACTTTCATCACTGTGTGAACTGTTTCTCCAAACCAACTTAACTTTCCTACAATCTTTCTTTTTCTTTTTTTGTTAGTTGGTCATAGGGCTTGAACTCTGGGTTTGGGCACTGTCCCTCAGCTCTTCAGCTCAAGATTAATGTTCTGAGTGGTTTATTGAAGATAAGAGTTTCAAGGCGGCAAAGCAGTCATGAGATAATGAGAATTAACTATATCTAATGCCACAAGGACTAAATTTTCATTTTTCTTTGAGCCCTTATAAAATTGACTATTCAGTAAAATATTTAGAATATTATCTTATGGGGCTGAGAAGTTGGCTAAGTGGTATAGTGCTTGCCTTGCATGCATGAGGCCCTGTATTTGATTTCTCAGCACCACATAAGCAGAAAAAGCTAGAAGTGGCTCTGTGGCTCAAGTGATAGAGTGCTAGCCTTTTGCTGAAGAGATGAAGGACAGTGCCCAGGCCCAGTCTTCAGGCCCCATGACTGACAAGAAAGAAAGAAAAGGAAAGAGAGAAAGAAAGAAAGAAGGAAGAAAGAAAAGAATATTATGTTACATCATAGAGTTAGACAGGAGAAATTAACTTCTTTTTATTTCAGGGTCAGATAACACTAATGGATGTCCCAGTATTTAAAGCTATTCAACCAGATGTAAGTAATTTTAAGAATATTTTTCAAATATAGAAAGTAATTAATTATAGTATCCTAAATTAAATTTAAGAACTTCCAGGCTACATTTTATATTCATTTAAGAATGTTTAAAGCTTGATGATGTAACTTATCTGTACCACTTAGGCCTTAGAAATTCACGTGGCTTCCATCACAGTATGTTATTGAGTCATAAATGGGTCTGTTTGAATCATTTTGGTTGATTTGGCTTCCTTACTGGATGAAGAAATAGACTTAGAGAAGTTGGATGTATAATAGCACAGTAATAGCACATGTGACTATGTGCTATTACTTTAGATCAGAGAAAGGTACTAGAGACGACCTTACAAAAGTTGTGTTTTTTGGCTAGTATGGGGCTTAAACTCAAAGCGTCATGCTTTCTTGGAGCACTTGATCAACTGGTGTTGAGCCACATATTCAGCCTAGGGTTTTGCTGATGATTTTAGAAATGGATGATGATGATGATTTAGCCATTTTGCTCAGGCTGACCCTTAAATTACAGTCTTCCAGATTTCAGTCTTTTAGTAAGATTACTGAGGATTAGTTTACATCACTGGCTTAGTCTGTTTTGTGCTGCTATAACAAAATGATGCTGAGTACTTAATACAGAAAAGAGGCTTATTTAGCTTACATTTTTGGTGGCTGAATGTCCAAGATCAAGAAGCTCTATCTTTTTGGTCTTGAGTAAGGGCCTCTGTAGCTGCTTCACAACATAGTAAAAAAGTAGAAAGGCTGCATGTAGCTGGGCCCAAGCCTGTGTGGTAGCCTAATTTTGTAGCAACTTGCTCTTGACAGAGCTAACTCACTTCTTGAAACTAAATTCCTTCTGTGGGTGGTACACCAATTACCTACCCACCTTCCATATGACTCTACCTCTTAAAACTTCTGTAACCCCCAAGACTACAAATACTGGAGAACAAGCTTCTAGCATATGAACGTTTGGGGAATGTACTCAAACCATATCCAGACTGCAACCACACTAAGTATTGGAGCTGAGTTTTAAAACTGATGGCTTTTCTATTTTTTCCAAATAAAAATATAAATGTTTTTTGTTTCTTAAAGCTGTAATCCTGAAACTTAGTAATGTAAGACAGATATTATGTCTATTTTTAAAATAAAGTACAGTGTATTTATTGTATGTAAATCTGTGCTGGCTTTTAACATAATGACTATAATGAGTTTCTTTGTACATCTTATGTGATATAAGAGTGTTTGATAGGAAAGTGGAACATCTGGCAAAGGCCAGGGAGTATGGGTGGCATGGGGGATATATGGGAAGATGAACTGTTGAATAAGGGCTAGATGTACACATACAATACAAAGCCATTGAGAGTGCAAGGCCCTCAGTAAAGTGCCAGGATAGGCACAAAATTGGATAATAAGATATGAATGAAGGAACTATTTTTGTTAATGTTAAACTGTGTGTGTTGGTGCACTGGTACTGGGGCTTGAACTCAGGGACTCAAGCTCTTTCCTAGCTTATTGGCTCAAGGCTGGTGCTCTTCCCCTTAAGCCACACCTTCATTTCTGGCTTTTTGCTTATTAATTGGGAGAGTCTCATAGAGTTTACAGCTTGAGCTGACTTCAAAACACTATCCTCAGATCTCAGCCTCCTGAATACCTAGGATTATGGCTTGAGCCTACAGCCCCTGGCTTACTAAATTTACAATATGGAAAAATAGCACATATATGATTTATTTTCATGATTCCATTATTCCAACATTTATTTTTCTATATGTAACTTCTTATAAAATTTTATAAAGTGTCTACATATACTTTATGAAACTCTTTCAAAGATCTTTAAGTTATACCAAAACTGTTAAAGCTCTCACTATGTGTGTGTGTGTGTGTATGCGTGTGTATATTTTTCAGCCTTCCTTAACCCTGGGTGCTGTGTTTTGTATATTCAACCAAACATGAATTTTTGTGTGTGTGTGTGTGTGTGTGTGTGTGTGTGTGTGTGTGTGTATTTTTCAGCCTTCCTTAACCCTGGGTTCTGTGTTTGTATATTCAACCAAACATGAATTTTAAAATATTCAAAAAAAAGGTGGATCTGTTCCTTGTTTCTTGACTTTACTCTCTTAAAAATAGAATGTAACTGTTTATATAGTATTTACATTTTATTCAGTATTATAAGTAGTTTATTCATGATATAAAATATTGAGGTAGATATTCATACTTTGTGTACAAACACTATATTTTATACAAAGGATTTGAGCATATGGATTTTTGGTATTTGAAGTAGGTGGTGTCTTAGAACAGGTGCCCCACAGATAAGAAGAAGCTGTGCTGAAGTTTATTTCAGTGAAGTGATTTATTCACATTCACTATGAATAGTGATCCCCCTCATACAAATCACACTCCCTGTCATCAAAAATCGTGTCCCCTCTCATACAAAATTAGGCTGTTTTGCTATTTTTCTCCCCCTCCTAACAAGTTAGATGTTCTATGTTAGTGATGTAGACAAAACACAGTAAGGTAGCTCTAAGGGTGGTGATTACAAAGAAGGAAGGTTATAAGTAGTTCTGTCATATACGTTCAATCTTCATTAACACATCTTTACAATTCTTTATTTCCAGACAGTTGATCTTTCACTTGTTTTTCTTTTCAGTTGTTTTTCTTCCTTTAGCCTGGTTTGGGGTTAAATTGCTATGTTTTGTACCCCGTTTCCTTTTAAGTAAGTGTCCAGCATATGATTTTTGAGTGAGTGCTCAATTAATTCTTTCTTGCTTAATTTTATTTACTGAAAAAAGCAAACTCTTAGTGTTAAAACTGTCCAGGGCAAAGGTCCAGAAGACTTGCCATTTGTGAATTGTGCATTTTTTTCTTATCTTTGGCTTAGCTGTGTGTGTGTGTGTGTGTGTGTGTGTGTGTGTGTGTGTGTGTGTGTGTGTGTGTGTGTGTGTGTGTGTGTGTGTGTGTGTGTGTGTGTGTGTGTGTGTGTGTGTGTGTGTGTGTGTGTGTGTGTGTGTGTGTGTGTGTTCGTTCTAGGGCTTGAACCAAGGGCCTGGGTGCTTTCCCTGTGCTTTTTTTTTTTTTTTTGGTCTGGTTGTGGGGCCTGAACTCTGGGCCTGGGCGCTGTCCCTCAGCTCTTCAGCTCAAGGCTAGCACTCTACCACTTGAGCCACAGTGCCACTTCTGGCTTTTTTGTTGTTGCTTATGTGGTGCTGAGGAATCGAAACCAGGGTCTCATGCATGCAAGGCAAGCCCTCTACCACTGAGCCACCTTCCCAGCCCCTCCCTGTGCTTTTTTGCTCAAGGTTGGTGCTGTACCACTTAAGCCCCAGCTCCACTTACAGCTTTTTGCTGGTTAATTGGAGATAAGCACCTCAATTGTTTGGGCTGGCTTTGAACCAAAAGATCCTCAGATCTCAGCCTCCTGAGTAGCTGGATTTCAGATGGGAGACATGGGTGCGTGGCTTTTTTTCTTTTCTTTTCTTTTCTTTTTTATTAAATCTTGGCAGTATTGGTATTTTGAACTCATGAGTGTCACTTTCCATTTGAGCCATGCCTGATTATGAGTGGTTGAGCTTTAAATTACCTTCTAGATCTTTGAGAAGTTACTGGGTAACTTAAGAATAAAAGATAATGTTGAGTAGTGTAGTTGCAAAGGCAATAAGAAATTATCATTAAAACTGGAGGAATCTTATTTAGGTGATAAAGGTTGAGAAACAGTCACTACTTAAATGCTTACAAATTGGGGTGGTAAGCTAAATTACAAAAGGGCAGGAACCTTTGTTTCATTCTTTGAAACATATGCCTAGCATAATACTATTGCCTGGAGTAATATCTATTAGCCTGTTCTAAACTCAGGCTTTATAAGTTATCATTCCACTGTTCCACACTATGTAGTTTACAGATGATCATTTCCTGTTGTTTACCATGGATAGACTAATTTCTGCAAAAGTTTTTAATAATTCAATATGGCTTTTGAAAAGTAACAGTCTTTCTGGAAATAGAATTTTTGTACTTATAATTTAGAATGTTTTCAAGCTTCTTTTCTAATGGTAATACAGCAGTTAAGCTAAGCTAAAGAGTTCATTTCATTCTATACATTTATTAATTTCTTGTGTGATTCTTTTTTGTTTGTTTTTGGTCAGTTGTGGCACTTGATCTCTTTGCCTGGGTGCAGTCCTTGAGCTCTTCAGTTCAAGGATGGCGCTCTGTCATGGAGCCACAGTGCCATTTCTGGTTTTCTGGTATTTAATTGGCAATAAGAGTCTCACGGATCTTCTTGCCCAGTCTGGCTTTGAACTGCAATCCTCAAATCTCAGCCTCCTGAGTAGCTAGTATTACAGACGTGAGCCACTGGCACCCGGCATCTTCAGTGATTCTTTAAAAGATTTTAAGTAATAATACAGAGGTTACAATTCTATAATCTTAAATGATTGTGTGTGCGTATGCATGTGTGTGGGGAGGAGGGGGGTCATGGGGCCTGAACTCTGTGCCTGGGTGCTGTCCCTCATCTCTTCAGCTCAAGGCTAGCATTCTACCACTTGAGCCACAGCGCCATTTCCAGCTTTTTTTTTTTTTGCTTATGTGGTGCTGAGGAATCGAACCCAGGGTCTCATGCATGCAAGTCAAGCCCTCTACCACTGAGCCACCTTCCCAGCCCCAAGGTCCAAAGTTTTTTAGATAAGGATTTTCAAACATGTATAAATTAAAACATGGTTGGATAGTAACACTTCACTGAAAATGAGAGTGTAAATTTGTTAAAAAACCTTTTAGAGTCCACTTACTGATATTTGTCATCCCAAGGATTTCAGATAAGGTATATTCATGCATTTAGATAACATAGACATTGTTTGAGGTATTTTAAGTAATCTAGATTCCTTATATACATAGAAAGCCCACCATAGTTTGTAGACAAGTACTATTTTTTTTTTTTTTTTTTTTGTGGTCTGTTGTGGGGCTTGAATTCTGGGCCTGGGCACTGTCCCTCAACTCTTCAGCTCAAGGTTAGCACTCTACCACTTGAGCCA